GTGTGTGTGTGTGTGTGTGTGTGTGTGTGTGTGTGTGTGTGTGTGTAAATTTATAACATTTATATATTAATTTATATATTACTACATTCTCATTATAATATATATATATTATAAATTTATAACATTTATATATATATATATATTATAAATTTAAAACTACACTCTCATTATTATATATATATTATATATATTATATATATATAAATAACTCTCATTATATATATGTATATAACACTATATATATATAGTATAGATATATAGATATATGTATATAGTATAGATATATATAGTATAGATATATAGATATATGTATATAGTATAGATATATATAAATATATATATAGAATAGTATATATAAATATATAGATATATATTATATAATACATATATACTATGTAATATATATACTATGTAATATATATATTATATATACTATACTATTTACATCTATATATATACTACACTATATATACTATATATACTATATAGTATATATAGTATATAGTATATATAGTATATATAGTATAATGTATAGTATATATATAATATATAATATATAGATATATATACATATTGATGAACTTTTGTTAACCAATAATTTCTTCGCAATACGTATCTGACCATTTACATATAAAATGTAGTTCAATTACAGTTCAATTTAAACGTGCAGAAACATACAGTGTAACATACAGTGCAAAGGTTCAACAATCCCATGCTATTCCATCTTACACTTAACTTTCAAATATTGCCTCGAATCAATCTATTAACCTTTGTATTCTACAATCGAAATTCATTTGTTCATCAGATGCATATCAGATCCATATTTTTTTGCACCGGGCAAATAATGTCACTCGTAATAACACTTTGTTCTATTATCATGTGACGGCGCAAATATAGAACAGATATGAAACACACACATACACACACAGTGGTACTTGGCAATTTTTCTCTTATTTAACGGTTCTTTTGATCAACAAGCGGAGCCTTGCACGGATCGATAACCTTTCATGATTCAAGAAATGTGCTGTATTTAATGCACATCGTTTCCTTCATTGAAAGGAAGCAAAATGTTCTCCAGCGTGGAAATCGTTCGAATTAATCAGGTCAAAAGAATGGAGGATTGAATTCTCTGTATGTCTTTGTGCATCACAACCGAGGAGAAATATTTTAATATAAAACAACCGAGTGATAGTATTAAAAAAGTTTTGATATGAATAAAGTTTCATAAAAACATTCCGACGTCCTCACATTAGACTCTGTAGATATGCGCTCTGTATCTTATATTAGAATCTTGTGTTCTAATTTCCAAGATTAATTGCATAGTAAATTTTAAAACTACCTGCCTACTTGTTTCATCTTTAATCTTTGCATGGAATGAACGAATGGAAGAAAAAAAAAGTAAGGATAAATTGTTTTTTCCTAATTATTTCCTTTTTTTTTTTTTTGGTTTTAACAGCACGTAAACACATTGTAATTTCTTGGTTATCTATATCTGAATAAATTATTTGAAATTTTAGAAATAAGAAATTTAACTCTCCTAATTATTAGAAGTTTGAAATTTAGAATAAATTTAATAAATTTTAGATTTCATAACTCGTGCAATGCAGAATCTTAAATAAATGGACATTCATGATAATTACAGAATGGAATTATGAACTGCAAACTTGATAAAACGTAACCAAATGATTCGTAAGTAATAAGCTCGCCGCGCGATAGCCTTGCAAAGACCTTATGCACTTTAAAACAAGATCAATATATATATATAAATAAATGTTCATTTTCCTAAAAGCCTTAACACCTACTCGGCCTACCATCTATGCACGTACATGTAAATAATTCAAGCGAGTATGATCCCCTCGGACGTGATAAAAACTAGTGTTGTTACATTCGATCTTCAATTAAATCGTCGATTCTACGATTATTTGATGAAAGAGAAAAATGTTCGACAAAAAATTAATCCGACTAGCTTTCTACACAGTAATATAATTGCTCTGCACCTTCAAATTCTCTCTAAAAAAAAAAAAAACGTATAAAATGTGTTGGTAACAAACTTACGCGGATTCGGGACTTACTTCAGGTCGCGAGGCAGAATTTTGCAAATGATGTAGAGCTTCCGATGGAACCTGCAGATGACGGGGAGCAACGCCAGAGCAAGCGCGACCTGGGCGATCTTGTTGAACCCGGGGAAACCGAACCTCGTCGCCACAACACCAAACATCGCAGCAATAACACCCAGAGCTAACAGCAGAAGTGTAACATCCATGATCCGGCGTCACCCAGTTTTGTTTCCGCTGAGTTTCCGTAGCTCGTATTCTGCGAAAACGTAATCAACCGTCGGTCAATATTTCCTTGTAGAACGTGAAGAAGAAAAAAGAAAAAAAAGAAAAAAAAGCGCGAAAAGACGAGGAGAATTATAAATATTATAGCGTGCAGGCGTCGCGTTTCCACGCTGAAGCGAAGAACTGCAAACGCTTCCGTTCCGGGGGATAACCGTCGTCAGAGTTTCACACGAAGGAAGATTAATTTAATTTTCCATTTTACGTATAGGAAAGGCAACCCCTGTATGTAGGGCGATCACTCACCGATGTTTCGAAATTACGTAAGGTAACAGAATTCAGTGGCTTTATTTCCAAGTCAGACGAGGCGAGGCAACGATCGATACTAACTTTAACGTTTTAAGAATCGACGACGTGCCAGAAAGTTTATTTTCTTTTTTTCTTTTTTTTTTGTTCTTTTATTTATTAATTTTCGTCGCGACACGAGCTAAGAACAGACACCTTGCTTGCATCTGAATGATACTTGCATCTGAGAGGTGTGCTGTGAGAGCTTCCTTCGTCGAAGAACTTTACGCCAAATTAGCACACGGCAAGACTCTGTTTTGTTTCAAAGAGCATGCACCGTCGAAGAATCGTCCTGGACTTTGTCTCACAATCTCCGAGTGGCACGTGCTACGACAACCGCAACCTTCTGCTACACCGAGCGCCAACGATCATTCATATGCTATATTCATATGCAGCGTGTCACGATCAATATATTATACATCCGAGAATCGCGTAAAACGCCCCGATGAATCTTTCACGCTCGAACGTTACACGATCATTACCATCCCTCGGTACGGAAACTACATGCAACAGAAATCCAGCAGTTGATACTTTGACAGACAGAGAATAGGAGAGACAGCACCGAACGATATAACACCGTGCGAAATTTTATGCGGTTTGGTGTTATACTAACTACCGCTGTTCATTTTCTCTTTATCTCACAACGATCAATATGTGTTTCGTGTCTTGCTAATACGCACGACGTACAAAAAAGTATATATCACATAAATTTCGATCAGACGGTATTTTCTGTTTTAAGATCTTCCTCTATCGAAGCGAGACGTTCACGCGACGTACCTTGCTCGCCTCAGGAAGTACGAGAACTTGGTTGTACGAGCACGGTTGATCTTGAATTGAAAACCGCACGGGACAGCGCAGCGTGCGAATCAATATTCTGTGCCTCTTGGAACGAAGTATACCACTCCGGACGGTGCACACCGACAACACTAACAGCCGACAGAGCGACAGAGCGACTGGACTGCAGACACCGCGTTCCAACGGCACTTCGCTACTGCGCCACCGGCCACCACCGAGAATAAGTCTGTCCGCGCGATAATGCACGCACAAACCAACGGAAAAATCGAAGTTTTATTTTAACAGGAATCCCTACCAACGTGGTGTCCTTCCGGCAACCACGTTTCTGTCGCATCGCTACTAGACATGCTCGGCCATTCGACGAACTTGAGCAGGCGCCGTTTTATTTTATTGTTGGCTTGTTCCTCCGTAACATTCGAAAAGAACGTTTGCGACGCACGTGTCAAAGATAAATGAATACTCGATCGGAAACGTTCCTCTTTTTTTATGTGAAAAGTGTTTGCAAATTTGTAACTCTCGTCGATGGACCTCGCCAATTTTCTTTTCTTTTTTTTTTCTTTCTTGATTTTCTTTCGAGTGAGAAAAAGTATAGGTCTTTTTCAACTGGCAGACAGATAGTAACGATCGTGTATTTAGAATGACTACTTGTGTGTACAAATGAAAATAAATATTGATCGATTAATAATTTTTATACATTAATATTTTGATATTTATTACTTTTCAACATGAAAATTTCTGCAGGTATTATTTATTTTTACACATTTATTATTCATTAACGAATTAAAATATCATAGATACAATAATACTGCGCAATAATTCGCTCATATATTTCATAATTCATAATATCCGCGAAATGACTACAACTTTTAATGATTTATCTATAATTAGTAACATCACTTAAATGTTAGAGGATAATGAATAATCAGTATATATAGAACATGGAATAATATACAATACTATAATATACAAATAATACTTATGATAGTATAATAGATAACAAAACAATGTATCATCTCAATTTTCAAAACAGATTTTGTATTATTAAATCAGAAAGAAAATTTCAATACGTATTTCGAATTACTGAAACTTGTGTTTGTAACTAAACAATCACGTTGAGATAAAACTCAACTTAAATGGCATTTTGAATTTATTAAGTCATATAAAAAACAGTTTGGTAAATTAAAAAAAGTAGATATGTTTGAAACTAATTTGCTCGTAAATAGTGAAGCTTAAAAAACTATCAACAAACATAGACAAAATACAATCGTTATACATTTTGTTATAAAACTAAATAATAATCGTGTGTTCGCATTACAAAAAATATTTTATTTAATAAAATAATACTACATTTATTTCTTTTTTAATTTATATCAAGTTTTTTTATATTGAACATCAATAAAATCAAAATATATAAAAGGAATGTTACGTAAGAGAAAGAAAGATTTAATATGGAACTATTCGATCGCATGCTTTAATTTTTAATCTTTATACTATTGATCTGGTCACAGTAACTTTATTATTCATGTTCTCTTAATACATATTTTATTGTTAATTTTCTTTCAATAGATCGTGTGTTTCTATAACACATTTATTATCACCTAATAAAAAAACAAATATTGTTTGAACATACTTTAATTAGTTTTTAAACTATATAATTGTTACAATAACGGTTGAAAGTGTTGTTCATTTTTGATAAAAACATTTTAATCCATGATTTATCGAATCAATGTACGATTTTTAAAATAACACGCTACTTTATACAATTATTAGCCATTCGTTTGTATGACCATGTACAACGATTTTAACGTGAATTATTTCTAACATTTCACTAGAACTTTGATGAAGAATTTAAGCACAAAAAGTAAATAAATGAAATTCTACCTTACAAATAAACACGATTGACAATTCACTATTACTTAATTTGGACATATACTCGATACAGATTTATGTAAAAATGCAGTAATTCTGAATCACATCTGCTATTTATAATCAGTTTGCTGTTGAAACTCTCGTGAAATATTAAATAGACGTACAATATAATAACTAATATATCATATTTTTATTATAGCATTACTGATTCGGAGCTAAGATAGGAAATGATGGGAAGACTTAATGAACGTCCTGAAAGTGAATGTATATTTAAAAATAAGTCCTTAATGGATCTAAAATAAAAGAAGTTAATAACGATTTGCAGCAATTTACAAAGAAATTACCTAAGTTTGCTGGATTGGATATAATTTTTACATTGATCTACAGTGGTAAATATTCTAAAATAATTATAAATTCCTTTTGTTCAATTCTGTGGACTTTTCTTGTTATATGCATTTACATCTTCTAAATTTAAAATGTCAAATTCAATAATATTTTTTCCTGCAAATTGTCCGAACACTCCATTTGATATGCTACGTTTAACGACTGCAACAGAAGAAACATATTAATCAATGCAGTCAATGATATGAAATAACCATTGGATGGTCTTAAATGTACTGACCATTTGAATTTACTTTTGTCAACATGTACGTTGGTAAATCTTGACATTCACGAGCTATATATGTCCCAATAACTGATAAATCAG